CTGCCTGTTAATTATTGTCATCTATAATAATCAAATGGGTATATTTTCAAGGTTAAACCTAGTTCCTCAAATTCTTCAGAGATCTGAGAATATGGCATCTAAATTGTTTAATGGAAAAAGCTTACTATGACAGATTTCAAGCTTCTACCAATGATGCTGAGGTCTCCAAAGTAAATGATGGAGCACCACAGTGACTCCATCTGGATTTTTGGTAACACTAACCACTGGGAAAAAATGTCCCAATGCAGCACCTACCAGAATCTGACCCAAACCATGGCGAATTGATTGCCACATTTTGTGTATACAAAGGTAAATCTCCCTCATGTTCCTCCTCCACAGGAAAGTCTCTAATCTTTTGGTCTGGCAGTCAAAGACTGATACCTCTGTCCTCAATGCTATGGAGACCATGGGAACCTGGGATGGCTATCTTAGTAATGAACTACTCTCTGTCATTTTAATTGATACTCAGGCCATTTGGATTGTACTTCATGTTATAATTATCCTTCTCAGATCTCTGATGGTATTGACTTGACAGATAGGCTAACTATAACTTTGTCAGTTTAGCAGTAGCAGGCAATCAGATTTTTCCCAAAGGCTGTAGTCGCTTTGTTAGTTCATTTCTAAAGCTACTAGGTATCATTTTGGGAAAAAGTAGATAGGTTTTCCTTGTTAACAGTCTTTATATTAGAAGACAAAAAGTTCCAGATGGAACTTTGTGTTATAGGAACATGATTTGAAATGATAGTCTCAGGAATAACTGCTTGTGTCTTTGGTGAATGATTAGTTTAGGGTTAAAGTCTATGCAAGTTTTGAGGGCATAAGAATGTTTGAAGGTATATAAAGGCCTGAGAATGTGAAAGCTTATAAGTTTTGAGGGCCTCAGAAAATGATTTAAGATGTAATTACAAGTTGTAATGGTATAAGTGAATGATTTAAAAATATGAGAAACATTTTAGATTTCTTTCCCCTTCCATGGTATAAAAGTTCAGAACTTAACATTAATAATGTTCTGATTAGCTGATAGAGAAATGACTACTTACTGTTCAGTCACAAACTCAAGATTTTAGATTTATTTTAGTTGTCTTCTAAATATAGACTTCAAGGTGCTTCTCATTGGGCTGAAGACGTTTCTCTGAGCAGTAGAAAATGTTCATATATATATGACCATTTGTCTTTTTGATACAGGGGTTCTCTGTAGCTTTGGAGGCTGTCATGGAACTCACCCTGTAGACCATGTTTGCTTCGAACTCACAGAGATCTGGCTGTCTCTCCCTCCTGAGTGCTGGTATTGAAAGTGTGCACCATCTTCTGGCTCCTTCTGTCTTTTTGTAAACTAAAAAAATCATGAAAGCTTCAGAGAATCTGGGGAGTCATAAGATTTGGATTCACTTCTCACAGGTTAAAAAGACTCCAGATAAGTACAGTCTAAGTTTCTCCATCTATTGCTGAGGATGGGATCTGTCTTCTGCTCTTGGGACGGACGCCTCCTCTTCCTCAATTATTAGGAGTATAGGCCTGAAAGTTATAAATGTAGTATTTTCCTTTAAGTTCATAAGTTATAATTTCTTTCCCTAGTTGATATCTGTCTCTAAACAGATTTCCATGTGGCTGACAGGTACATACAAGCATCAGCTCGTGACTACAACCTGCTCCAAATGACTGTGAGACCTCTGACTTGCTGAAAGCTGACATGGAACATTCCAGTCTATGTGAATGCTCCCTGTCTCTTCAACTGAGTCGGCAAACCAGATGCTTCCGATGAATGACCCATTGCCTCAATTCCCTCCTTGCCTTTGGTTAACATTCTAACCTTCCTGGACCTTGTCAACAAAGTGCTAGTCTCAGAAGGAAGTAATTGCAGAAGAGCGTACTTTCCCCCTAGACCCCCAACAGGCTAGAATGTTAGATCAAAAGGAAACTCCCTGTCATAGGGGATCTGAGATAAAATAAATAAGTGTTTCCCATTCTCATTTCTAGGTTCCTTCTAAAAAGGAAATCTGTCAGTCATCATTGATTCCTTAAGTAAATGATAATTCCTGTCTGGGTACCATTAAGCTTATGGTTATTAGATACCATTATAAACAGTTACCCATCACAGAGTTAAGGATAAGACTCACGATACAACTAAGAGAGGTTATGTGAGAGTCAAAATTTACATTTTGAGTTTTAATTACTATGCCTTAGAGCTCAAAGAAATAAAAATGCCTGGGATCTGTAAGCCCCTTGCCCAAGGACAGATAGTTCCTGAAATACTAAAGGCGATTGTTTATGGAAGATAACAAGCCACATGTTTTACACTCCCCTAAATAAGTTTGTTTAACCCATCTACACCTATATACTTGATCTCATATGAGCGGTAGCTTCACAGACTGGAGGTACATCAAGATGTATGCTTGCCCCGGATTGAACTTGGTGGGAAATGCAATGAATTATGGGTTTTCCTTATTAAGCACTTGCCATACTTGATTCTGGGCCAAGAACCTAGGTATGGACTTGGCCAGTGCCTATCCATCTGGCCAGTATTCAATTAAAGCATGCTGCAAATTTGGTTTTAAATTGTAGAAGTGGTCTTATATCAATCTATGGTATTAAGGAATTGTGTTTGATTTAGGAGACTAAGCCTTGAAACTATCCTGGGCAGCACAATACAGCCATTCCTGTTGGTAAGGTTATAAGTGAACGATCCCCATAGTTGTGAGAATTGGTGTGTTGTCCCCAATACTTTTCAGGCAAGTAGCAACATGGGAAGGAGAGAGATGCCCCCCACCCCTCTGCCTATCAGTGACTGAGGCAGGCAAGAGCTGATCCTGAGATGATAAAAACAAGAGATCTGCCCCTGCTCCTCATCAGCTGCAGCTCTCAGGATATTGACCTCTATGCCAGGCCTGGGCAACACGTAGAACTGTCCCTGGATGTGCAGGTGTGGGAGATCTGGCCCTGATTACTTGAAAACAGGATACATGATCTGGCCCCTTGCTCATTGCTACAAATGGCCACCTGTCTATTGCAATGCAGGAGAGTTTATGCTGGTGGTGAGGACAAGGGAAAGCTGGTGGACTGACAGAAACTGCATTATCCTAGCCCAGAACCAGGGTTATGTGGTGGCCCACTCCAACACCCAGCCCATCTGTGATCTGCTGGAGATTATGAAGGAACCAGTTCTGATGACACAAGGCTTCAGGAGTTCCACAACACAGGCAGCAACAGGATAACTAAGAGGATTCCCAGTGAGGTCCCAGCATCTACAGAGTAGTAGAAAACAGAGCCAGGACTCTGCAATGAGCACTTTCATGTAATGATACATGGATAATATGCAGGGCTCACTGTGTCACACCACAGCTTCCATGACAAGGTTGATTTTTTTTCTTCTCTTTTTCTTCATTTTTCTCTTAATTTATTTTATCTCATTTTGTGAGGGGGTTGCAAGGGCAGAGGGTGGATATGCATGGATGGGGAAATGAATGGGATTCAGGTGTATGATGTGAAAGACACACACAATAAATAAAAAGATGTGGGAAAAAGAAAAAGATAAAGAAGTCTGTTGGTATCTGGATGGGGGTTTGGTTGGAGCTTTCAGTTTGCCCCTGAATGTTCCTGGAAGCACCATGCTCCCTTGCTCTCTCCAAATTATGTATCTCAGAGTGTCTTCAAACAAAGGAATGATGTCAAAAAGCTCAGTTGTGCATTTTTGGCTGCCATTTCTACTTCTTACCCAGAAATTGCCAGTCACCCAAGTCCCCACCTAAGCACTCAGCTTTTGACCATATTTGGCACAAACCCAGTTTGTGGTGGAAAACTCATCATCTTGTGTGAGACTTGATCATACTTGAGGTATCAAGAGTATATAGTGATGCTTTTTGGAGCCTTTGGCAGGCCTGTGTGTGTGAATCACAAAAGAAACCATTGAGATTTTAGAGCAAGGTTCTACCATCATCTGCAGACAAACAATTCTCCTTTCCAAAAAATGCTCTTGGCTTGTGATTGGGCCTTAGTGGAAACAGAACTTTTGACAATTGGCCACCAAGTTACCATGTGACCTGAACTGCCTATGATGAGCTGGATGTATTATTATCTACCAAATCTTGAGGAAGAAAGACATACCTTTATTATGGGCTACACCTGTTACTGGAAGCCTATAGAAGGATATGAAAGAAAGAAGCTTTTTCCCTTTGCCCGTTTGCCTTCACCTTGCCAGTACATCCCTTCTTCACTGACATTAAAGCCTGCTTCCTGGGGATTACCAAGTATACTAAAGACTAGCTAGGACATACATATACAGATTTCTGGACTGAGCAACTACTGGATTTTTGGACTTTACATTCACAACCTGTCATTGTTGGATTGCTATACTCTGTAAATCATTATATATATATATATATAGAGAGAGAGAGAGAGAGATTCATTTCATAAGTTCTGTTACTCTAGACAATCCTGATATTACACCAAGGTACACTGAAAGCAATGTTGGTATAAATCCATTTAAAAACTTAAGTTCTATTAATTCTATTCAGCAACACAGGGTTTTTGAAATGCTGCTGATTACCTTGATTAAAGAAGAACTGAGGTGAGTCACTGCTGTTCATTTTCACAGTGTCATATTACATTTACATATATACATATATATATATATATATATATCCCAAGAAAAACTAATCAGCATTTACTGAATGAATATCACTTTTTCACTATCATAAAGTTAATAAGTCAGGTCAATCCATTGCTAGAATATTTCAATGTGCAAAATAATATATTTAAATGTTAATATGCAAAATGTTTCTTATATTTCATTATTGATATAAAAGTAGTGTGTAGCAATTATTTATATTCATTAGTAATGCTAAATATGACAGTTTGGTTGTAATATGTTTGTGAAATAACATTAATTTGACAACTGAGACAATCTGTCTTCCATTCACTGTAAATCATAACCTTAGTTCAAATGGTATCCAGGATGATTTGAGAAAGTGGTGGATGGAAACAGACACTAAAGAAATCCCATCTGTTTTCTTGGTATTCATTTTTATGCCAAGATACATCACATCTGGGTTTAGGAGTTTTGAATAGCTGATTTTGCAATTGTGGCAGCAGTCTCTCATGTTCCAAAGCCATCACCATATGCCAACACCAGTTTATATTTATGAAAAGAAATGAGTTAAACAATACTTCAAATGTAAATTGGAACTGTATTATTAATAATGCATTTGCCTTTCTAAACAGAAGCTCATTCATAAATTCTAGTAACTGTATTATTTTGTGCAAAAGGGATAATTGATGTGACCATCAATGCACTTTGTACGAAATGGAGGTGTCCTTTTTCCCTTGCGGTAGCCAGGTTTACAAGTAAATTCAACATCCTCCCCTGATTGGGAATAAAGCTTTTGATTTTCTCTCCATTTGAGAATTATGTTATATTTTTCCATAGTTTCTTCTGGTATCACACATGCATCTGAAAGAAAAATTTCCAAATTTCATTAAGTAATATGTAAACCTACAGAGACTCAGCTTTGAGAATTATTTCTCAAACTATTTCAAAATCTGTATAAGAGCAGCACATAAATTTGAGTCTGTGTAATTTTGATTATTTTATTTACAAACTGTTTGTATTAAATTTCATAAAAATAAAGAATAAAGGTAAATAATACAGTAATTCTGACTCAAAATAGAAAAAACAAACCAAAAATCCTAAAAGAAAATAAAAAATGAATGAATGCACCTCTAACATAGCTACCTAATAAATTATGTTCTAGAGAGAACAGCATTCAAAAAATGAAAATGGGCCAGGGATTGGTGGCACACATCTTTAATCCCTGCACTCAAGAAGCAGAGACAGGCAGATCTCTGTGAGTTCAAGGCCAGCCTGGTCTGCAGAGCAATTGCCAGAATATGCTCCAAAGATGCACAGAGAAACCCTGTCTCGAAAAACAACAGCAAAAACAATGAGAATGAGCTACCAATATCAAATATTAAGTACACATAAATCCCACAAGATCAGAAGTCATATAATTTAAGTATAGGGAAGAATCAAATGAAAGTGCAAAACTCTTTAAAAATCTGCTGCAGATATTTCAGAATTAACATTTTGAAATTAGATATACTATGAAAGTTAATTTGCAGTATTAATGAAAATTCCAATGTTGAATTCCATAGATTTAGAAAAATAAATTAGAAATCCTACATAATCACAGGAGAATACAAATAGTCAAAACCAACACTAAGAGGTTAGAACACTACTGGTGGGATCAGAATATCAAAACTCAATTTGTAATCCAGACCTCTCAGCTACCCCTCCCCCCCATCATGTCTGCCTGTGTGCCAGCATGATCACCACAATGAAAATAAGAACTAAATATCTTAAACTGTAAGCAATACCCAATTAAATATTTTCTTCTATAAGATTATCCATGGTCCAGTTTTCTCTGTACATTTCTCTGTCATGATCTTGACCAACACCCTTACTTATATAATCACTCCTAATTCTCTTCAACTGGAATCCCAGAGTTAAGTCTGGTGCTTGACTGTGAATCTCTGCATCTGCTTCCTTACAGAAGGCTCTATGCTGACAGTTAGGTTATTCACCAATTTGATTGCAGAGGAAGGTCAGATCAGACACCCAACCATTCCACTATTTCTAGGAGTCTGAGCTGGGGTCATTCCTGCAGTTTCCTGGGAATTTCCCTAGCACCAGTTTCTCCCATGTAATGGCTACCTCTATCAAGATATCTCTTTCATTGCTGTCCCACTCAGTCCCTCCACCAACATGACCATCCAGTTCCCTCATGTTCTCATCTCCCAAACTCCCTTCTATCACCTCTTACCTCCAGTTTACCTAGAAGATCTGATATATTTCCCCTTCCCAGGGTGTTTCATGTGTCTCAGCTGAACCAAGCTTGCAGGAACTCACAAACTCTAGAGCGACAGTTGTGGGGCTTCCATGGGATTGAGCTAGGCCCTTTACATGTCGGTGACAGTTGTATAGCTTGGTCTGTTTGAGGCAGTGGAACCAGGATCTATCTCTGGTGCATGAGCTTGCTTTTTGGAACCCATTCTCTATGGTGGGATGCCTTGCTCAGCCTTGATGCAGGGGGGAGTGGCTTGGTTCTACTTCAACTTAATGTGGGAGGCCTTACCCTTAAGGAGGAGTGGATGGGGTGTGTTGGGGAAGGTGAGGGTAGGAGGCGGAGTGGTAGGGGGGAACTGTAGTTGGTATATGAGATAAGAAAATAAATAAATTTATTAGAAAATTCATAAAAAGTCCAAAAAATGCTGCTATGGTCCTGGTGACAATTCACAGCAATAGAGCACTGATTGAGATAGCAGGTATGGAAAAATCATGCTGGCACCAACTTTTAAGGACATCAATACACATTAGTAAAAACTCAAAAATAAAGAAAAACATGCACAATTTTATTTGTCAACCATTTTTATATACAAGTGAAACTAATAATCTTGCTTTCCCCACATGCTAGCTTTTGTCAGTGAAGCAGTAAGTGAAAGAGTGCTTTTAATCTGTGCATGGTCTATTATTAACAGAAAAATATCCATATCATGAAACTGAATCTCCTACAGTCTATGAGAATGAGGTACTTACGTAAACATATTGGTGGCTCAGACCACTGTCCATTTCTACATGTTATTTTCTTGTCTCCCTTTAGTAGATAATAGGCCTGGCACTGATATTCAACTGATGACGATGGTGGGTATACTAGTAATGGGAAGGAGGTGATGTCTCCATTTTCAATAGGGGGAGGAGGCCCACATTTCCCTGTTGAATCTAAGAACACAATGTTTGAATGTCTGAGAAATTAAGTCAACATACAGGCTTCAGAAGAACCAAGCAGTTTACACAATATAAAGGCTTTGGTGATTTCTAGATACAAAAAGGGTTGCTTGAAGAAGATTTCATTATATAAACTGAGAATTACAAGTTCTTCCTTTCTTCCTTCTCACATAAAGCACTTCCTGAACTGGAGCAAGCATGTCAGTTCTGAAGTTTTCCAGTCCTACTAAATGTCTTAACATCCTATACAAATACAGAGGCCAATGGAGACAGATAGAGTTTCTCTTTTTTTTCAAGACACTTGAGTATTTATTATTCTATATATTTCTGACATTCATTATTATTTTTTGTAGAAACATACATTTCTAGACAAGAATTTAAGGCTTACAAAATCACAGAAGGCAAATGAAGCTTTCTGGGTTCCTGAAAGAGTCACATAAGTAGAGGTATCTACAAATTATAAAAGTAAAACAGGAGTACTTAGACATAATATTTTTGGTAAAGAGTATAGGGAGAGGGGAGAATTCTGTTTAAGAAATGAGGACACATCTAACTGCATGATACTATTGGTTTCCCTTTTGGACCATTGATCTTCCTGGTGAGGCCACAGGGAAAAAAGACTGAAATCAAAAATACTGATATTATGTTCTGTTAAGTTAGATCTAAATAGGTGCATCATGAAATTGAACTGAACTCCAATGTTGTTTAGGAGAAAACAAAATGTTCAATATCCAAGCAAAATATTTACTGTGAAGGAAAATGAAATTAGACTTCAAATTAAAATTGATCAAAAGTGATGAATAAGGACATTTCATATTCATCACAGGAAAATCCATCAAGATGAAGTCTCAATTCTGAACATCAATTCCCCAAATACAAAGGCGCCACATTAATGAAAGAAACATTACTAAAGCTCAAATCACAAATAAAATATCACACACTAATTGTAGGGTACTTCAACACTCTGCTCTCACCACTAGACAGGTCCTCCAGGACAAAAACTTAGCAAAGAAACAAAAGAACTGACAGATGTTTTGACCCAATTGGATTTAACAGACTTCTATAGAACATTCCTTCCAAACAGAAACAGATATACTTTCTCCTCTGCGACACAAGGAACCTTCTCTAAAATTGACCACATAATCAAAAACATAGTAAACCTCCAAAACAATACAGAAAAATGGAATAACCCATTGTATCACTGTACCTTATCAGACCACCTTGCATTAAAATTAGAATTCACAACAACACAAGACGCAGAAACCCTACAATCTCATGGAAATTGAACAATGCACAATTTCACCATCCCTGGGTAAAGGAAGAAATAAAAAAAGAAATTAAAGACTTACTGGAATTCAACGAGAATGAAGACACAACATACCCAAACTTATGGGACACTTAAAAAGCAGTGCTGAGCTGGGTGGTGGCGGCACACAGCCTTTAATCCCAGCACTCGGGAGGCAGAGGCAGGAGGATATCTGTGAGTTCGAGGCCAGACTGGACCGACAGCCTCCAAAACAATACAGAGAAACCCTGTCTTGTAAAAACCAAAAAAAAAAAAAAAAAGCAGTGCTGAGAGGAAATTTCACAGCACTAAGTGGCCACATGAAGAGACTGAGGAACAGTCACACTAGAGAATTAAGAGCACAACTGAAAGCTCTAGAACAAAAGGAAGCAAATTCACCCAGGAGGAGTAGATGCCAGGAAATAGTCAAATTGAGGGCTGAAATCAACAAAGTAGAAACCAGGAAAACATGCCAAAGAATCAATGAAACAAAGAGTTGGTTCTTTGAGAAAACCAACAAAATAGACAAATCTTTATCAAAACTAACCAAAAGGCACTGGGTGAGCATGCTAATTAATAAAATCAGGAATGAAAAGGGGAACATAACAATTGACACTGAGAAAACCCATAGAATCATCAGGTCATACTTTGAAAACCTGTACTCTACAAAATTTGAAAATTTAAAGAAATGAACAATTTTCTGGATAGATATCACTTGCCAAAATTAAATCAAGGACAGAACACTGAACTGAACCCAAGGAACCCAGTGGCAGAGAGAGAGGAGTGATGAGCAAATTGGCAAAGAATGGGCTGGCAAAACCAGCAGAGACAGCTGATCTGAACAGGGGAGAGCTCTTGGACCCCCAGACTGACAGTGGGGAGGATAACATGGGACTGATCTGGACCCCCCCCAAATGTGAGTGTCAGTAAGAAGGCCTGGGCAACCTATGGGGCCTTGAGCAGTGGATCAGTGTCTATCCCTGGAATACAAACAGTCATTGTGTGCCCATAGCACAAAGAGGGATGCTCTCTCAGCCTGGACTCTTAGGGGAATGCCTGGACCCTACCCGGAGTGAAATGACAGACTCTAGATATCCACTATGTGGAAGGAATTGGCAATAGGGTGGGAGGCTGGGGGGGAAGGGGAGTGCGGGAGGAGGGGAGGGAGAGGGAACTGGGATTGACATGTAAAACAAGCTATTTAAAATTAAAATAAAAACGATATAAAAAATAAACAGACCTATAAACCTTAATGAAATAGAAGCAGTCTTCAAAAGTCTCCCCACCAAAAAAAAGCCCAGGCCCAGATGCCTTCAGTACAAAATTATACCAGAAATTCAAAAAAAGAGCTAATTCCAATACTCCTCAAAGTGTTCCACACCATAGAAGCAAGAGGTTCGCTGCCAAACTCTATTTACAAGGCTAAAATTACCTTGGTACTAAAGCCACAAAAAGACACAACTAAGAAAGAGAACTACAGACCAATTTCCGTCATGAATATTGATGCAAAAGTACTCAATAAAATACTAGCAAATCGAATCCAAGAACACCTTAGAAAAATCATCCACCATGATCAAGTAGGCTTCATCCCAGGGATGCAGGGATGCTACAGGATATGAAAATCTATCAATATAATCCACCATATAAACAAACTGCGAAAGAAAAACCTCATGATCATTTCACTAGATGCTGAAATAGCCATTGATAAAATCCAACACCCCTTCATGATAAAGGTCTTGGAGAGATCTGGGATAACAGGAACAAACCTGGACATAATAAAAGCAATATACAGTAAACCAACAGCTAATATCAAACTAAATAGAGAGAAACTCAATGCAATTACTCTAAAATCAGGAACAAGACAAGGCTGTCCACTCTGTCCATGTCTCTTCAATATTGTACTTTAAGTTCTAGCTAGAGCAGTAAGACAACAAAAGGAGATACAAATTCGAAAGGAAGAAGACAAGTTTCACTATTTGCAGATGACATGGGAGTTTTCATAAGTGACCTGAAAAACTCTGCAAGGGAACTCCTACAGCTGATTAACACCTTCAGCAAAGTGGCAGGATACAAGGTTAACTCAAAAAAGTCAGTAGCCCTATTATACACAAATGATAAATTGGGTGAGAGAGAAATCAGAGAAACATCACCCTTTATAACAGGCACAAATAGTTTTATATATCTGGGTATAGTGCTAACCAAACAAGTGAAAGACTTGTATAGCAAGAAGTTTGAGTCCCTAAAGAAAGACATTAAAGAAGATACCAGAAAATGGAAAAAACTCCCATGCTCATGGATTGGTGTGATCAACATAAAAATGGCAATCTTCTCAAAAGCAGTCTACAGATTCAATGCAATCCCCATCTAAATACCGGCACAATTATTCACAGACCTTGGAAGAACAATAATCAACTTTATATGGAAAAACAAAATCCCAGGATAGCAAAAACAACCCTGTACAATAAAGGAACTTCCGCAGGCATCACCATTCCTGACTTCAAGCTCTTCTACCGAAAACTTTGATATTGGCACACAAATAGACAGGTAGATGAATGGAATCAAATTGAAAACCCAGATTTTAACCCACACACCTATGAACACTTAATTTTTGACAAAGAAACTTAAATTATACAATGGATAAAAGAAAGCATCTTCAACAAATGGTGCATATTGGATATTGGCATGCAGAAGACCTTAGATAGATCCATGTGTATCCCCATGCACAAATCTGAAGTCCAAATGGATCAAAGACCTCTGCGTAAATCCAGCCACACTGAAACTATTAGAAGAGAAATTTGGAGGTACTCTAGAATGAATTGGTAAAAGTGACCACTTTCTGAACATAACACCAGTAGCACAGACACTGACATTGACAATTAACAAATGGGTCCTCCTGAAACTAATAAGCTTCTTTAAGGCAAAAGACACAGTCAACAAGAAAAAAAGGCAGCCAAAAGAATGGGAAAAGATCTCCACTGACCCCACATCTAACAGAGGGCTGATCTCCAAAATTTACAAAAAACTCAAGAAGCAACTCTCCAAAACACCAAAGGATCCAATTAAATGTGGGTTACAGAATTAAAATAGATAATTCTCAATAGAGGACTATAAAATGGCTGAGAGACACTTGAGAAAGTGCTCAACATCCTTAGCCATCAGGAAAATGTAAATTAAAAGTCCTCTGAGATACGATCTCACTCCTAACAGAATGGCTAAAATCAAAAACATTAAGACAATTTATGCTGGAAAGGCGGAGAGAGGGGAACACTCCTCCACCGCTGGTGGAAGTGACAGCTTGCACACCCACTTTGGAAATCAGTATGGAGATTACTCAGGAAAATGAGAATCAGTCTAACACAAGACCCAGCAATTCCACTCTTAGGCATATATCCAAAAGATGCAAATTCATACAACAAGGACATCTATTCCACTATGTTCATAGCAGCATTATTTGTAATAGCCAGAACCTAGAAGCAACATAGATGCTCCTCAACTGAAGAGTGGATAGAGAAGATGTACATTTACACAATGGAGTACTACTCAGCAGAAAAAAACTATGGAATCTTGAAATTTTCAGGCAAATGAACAGCACAAAAAGACAAACATGGTATGGACTCACTCGTATATGGATTTTAGACATGGATCAGGAGAGTGCCAGCCTACTGCTGCACTGACAGAGAGTCTGAGGAACAGGAAAATAGCTAAGAGAGATATTCATGGTACCCCAGAAAAGAGGAATGAGGCAAGATCTCCTGAGCAGATTTGAAGCAGAGGGGTGGGAATGGAGTGGGATCTGGGAAAAAGAGAGGGGGAGAAGAGGAGGAGAGAGGATGTCATTGGGGAACAAGACGGTTGCGTTGGGGGAAGAAGAGTGGATAACAGGATCAGAAATATCATAATTGAGGGAGTCATTATAGGTTTGAAGAGAGATCTGGCAACAGTGAGATCTCTAGTTAACTACAAGGATGACACAAGCTGGCAAGCTAAGCAATAGTGGAGAGACTATATTAATAGTCCCTACCTAATGATAAGGTTGGTGGCTACCTGATATACCATCCTGGAACCTTTATCCAGTGAATGATGGAAGCAGAGGCAAAAACCCACAGCTAAACACTGAACTGAACACTTGGAACTCAGTGACAGAGAGGGAAGAGTGATGAGCAAATTGGTAAAGAATGGGCTAGAGTGACCAGCAGAAACGGGTGACCTGAACAAGGGGGAGCTCTTGGACACCAGAAGGACATCTGGAGGGCCAACATTGGACTGATCCAGACCCTCTGGATGTGGGTGTCAGTGAAGAGGCCTGGAAACTCAATGGAGCCCTGGGTAGTAGATCAGTATTTATCCCTGGTCTACAAATGGACTAGGATGCTCTATCAGCCTAGACTCATGGGGGAGGGCATGGACCCTGTCCTGAATGACATGACAGACTCTGGATATCCCCTATGTGGAAGGGAGTTGGGACAGGGTGGGAGACTGGGGGGAGGATGGGGGGCGTTGTGGAGGAAGGGAGGAAGAGGGAGCTGGAATTGACATGTGAAGCAATCTTTTTTCTAAAGAAATGTAACAAAATATAATGAAAAATATTATTTCACTTTATTTTCACTGATACAGAGCAAACAAATTACATTGTCAAAAAATTCTTGGAAACATGTAGCCCTACCTTTGCATTTTGGTGGTTCTGTCCAAATCCCATTTTGACACATCACTTCCTTTTCCCCAAATAGTTCAAAAGATTTATTACATTCATATTCTACTCTCTCATTTGTTGGATATTTAGCCATAGGCCTTGTTATTATAGTAGCATTTTCCACATGTGGTGGATCCCCACAGGAAGTATCTAAAGAGCAAAAGAAAGTATCTTTATCTATTTGTTCATCTTATATTTCTCAACACGCACACAGAGAGAGAGAGAGAGAGAGAGAGAGAAATCATGAAATTCACAGGTAAATGGATTGAACTAGAAAATATCATGTGAGTGAGATAAACCAGACCCAGAAAGACATATGTGGTATGTATTTTCATATATGTTGATATTAGCTGTTAAGTCAATGATGCCTAGGATACAATCTATTGAACAAAAGAGGTTAGGTGTAGAGTAAGGGACTGGAATTGGGGGGGGGATAATTTCCATAGACTGGTGATATTGAGTAAATAGTTATGGATGAGGAGGGGGAGACAAGGAACAAAACACAGGGAAAGACTGCTAAAATTAGGACTCATTTGAGGGATATTATGGAAGCCTAACACAGTGGAAATTTCCTGATTCTCATATATAAATAATAACATCAAGACATGGGGCAACAGAGACCCAATGGATATATCTTGTCACTAAATGAAGCTTATAGTACTGGGATTGGGTTCCATATAATTGAACTGTGTGACCAAAGAGGTCACATGGGAACTTCCAAACAACTCAGACTATTCACAAGACTATAGAGTATTTTCCACAAGCTGGATTCAAGGCTACATTTTAAATGTGACAGCATCTACACAACTCACTGAACATAGAAAAACCCAACTGGAGCCTACATAGTGCTTCAACCCTACAGGCAAGTAACCCTACAGGACGTTATTTTGCATATTACCAAAGTAGAAACAAAAACATCACCCGATCCACAAACCCTGATCTATAATGGTATTCTGCTTGCAAGTATTCTAGGAAAATGGTGGTACAATGCTTGTGAGTATAACCAAGGTATATCTGATTTGAATTAAGGTCCCTTCTATGAGATGAAGCCCTTATACTACACTAGTTGAGTGATCATCAACCTGAGACTAGATAGCCTAGGGACGTAATGCTACTGTGAAACCACATAAGAACCTTCTAAAACAAACAAATAAAACAAAAGCCATAGCAACAATAGAACTTCACATGACATTCTTTTATGCTCATAGATCTGGCCTTACAAAACTGTCATCAGAGAAGTTTGTCCTACAACAGATGGGAACAAATACAGAGAGACTTAGCCAGACGTTCTGAAGAGACCTGATAAAACAGAGCCCCAAATGGATTGCGTCCATCAAATCACTCCCCATGTGGCTTAAGGAACCATACAGAACAGAAGACATAAAGAGTGTAAAAAGCAGATGGGATAGAGTGCTTCAAGTAGGGAAGACCCTGCAAAGCAACAAGACTGATGCACATATGTACACTCAGAGACTGAGACAAGCATGCACTGCACCTGGACGGGTCTGCAATAGATGGGGTTCTAGTGTTGAAGAAGTTGGCACATGCCACCATTCCGAAATCAGAAGCAATATCCAATCTCTAACTAATAGCCATGTGCAAAGACAATTTAGAGATCTCCAAGGGAATCTCAATGGAGAAACAAACTACTAATAAGGGTAAACTGCATAAAATGAGCTCTAAGGAATCTTTGGAAGTTCTTTGTCTCATAATGTCCTACCAGGGCTTACCTTTTTTTTTGTAAATTCTAACTCATTTTTTATTTAATTTTTATTTTATTTCTGGTTTTCTTCTCTCTTTTTACCCTACAGTTCATTTGTATATGTATTATAGTTTTCAGTTCAATGTTTTTATGAGATTCCTGAGTATGGCAAGAGGGGCTTTGTATCTATATTACTCTCTTGTGCTTTTCTTCAGCTTTCTCCTGGGATTGTTTCTTTTGTGAAGAAAGACAGAAGGAAGATGGTTGCAGATGGTAGAGGAGGCAAAAGGATCTAGGATGAGTAGAGGGAGGGAAGAATCATAATCAGTACATCTTACCAGAGGGAAAAAAATCCATTTTCATGTAAGGGAAAAAGAACATTATTTCAAGAATACCAAAGTTGTAAGAGAATGATGATCAAGTAAAATATCCTAATATCCTAACCAATTAGAGAAAATGAGATATAAACAAGAACTCAGTTGAATGGTAATTCTTTAACAATGCATTTACAAATATTTGCAGCCTACAGCAATTACTTCCAAACTGAATTTGTCACAGAATTCCTGAAGGACAGTAGAGAAGGCTCAAGGTCTCTCTCCTAAATGACTTTCTATTTAACAACACTAAGTTGAATTCTTCAGTGTTAATTTACATTTATAAAACCTGGCACAATGATACTGATAAGACTGGCCATAGAAGCACATGCTGGGGACCATCACTATATCAGTTTAGCCAATAGATTTTCAGTTCCATACTTTTATTGTAAACATAGACGAAGTTCCTCTTCCTTTAAAAGCTAAACTTTGACCACTATTAAATTATGCTAGACCTCCCACGAGCAAAGGAGGAGTGTTTCCTTTGTTCCACATCCCCTCCAGCATAAGATGTCATACATAATTTTGATCTTAGCCATTCTCTTCTGGATAAGATGGAATCTCAGAGTTGTTTTGATTTATATTTCGCTGATCACTGACTCTGGTCTGACAAATGGGGAACCTCCGTAAGACTGAATTAAACTCCTTTAAAATAGGTGACAATGGTGCCACTTGGACAATATATAAGGCTGTTGGCAGTTGTTCCAAGATAGAAGTCTAATTTACAAACTGACCTAGTGGAGTCCATTCTATTTTGAGAGATACCTTGCTCAGCCTAGACACAGTGGTGTGGGGAATGGAGAGGTGCTATGGTCCTACTCAGTGAGATGATGGGACAGACTTGGTAGACTTCCTAGGGGAGGTCTTCCTCTCTGAGGAGCAGATGGGAGGTGGGGGGGGGGAAGCAGTGAGAGCAGGAAGAGTGTGGGGATGGAGAACTGGGATCAGAAGGTAAAAAATAAATTAACAAAAATATTTTTTTAAAAAACCAAAACAAACAAAAAATTATGCTACACCTCTTTATGAGAAACTATAATAAACACATGTTTCAAGTGTATCAAACTACCTTTGCACACTGGCTCTCCAATCCATGTGCGATTAACACATGTGACAATGCTGGATCCTTCCATTTGATAAGAAGGTGCACATCTGAACGTCAATTGTTCTCCAGACTTATATGAGTATTTTTGCTTTTCTGTGAGTATGGCATTTTCAAACCTGGGTAAATAGTTACAATCAGTTCCTGAAAGAAAAATAATATGTAGGTTTATGTTTTTAGGAAATTGTAAAATATATAATATATGAAGTAATAGTTAGGTTCACAGAGGACAATAAATACTGTAGGTTCCACATTTAAACTAAGTTACATTCAATAGTTCCAAATTTTTGAAAATAAATAAGGTAGGAATGACACTAGATACAGAACCCTTGGCAAATGTTTAGAGCCTACAGTAATGGTTTCCAAATTGAATTCATACAGAATTCCTGAATGACATTATAGAAAACTCCAGTTATAGTTCTTGAGAGTTTTATATTTTGCATTCAAATTTTTTCTGTCTTATTTTCCACACTTCAGGCATATTTCTACTTTTTAATGTCATCAAATATAGAATACTCATTATAATTTATTTGAAAATTTTATAGCATAATTAGCTGTAGTGGCAATGCTGCACAAATTGTGCCTGTGGTGATGAGCCTGTTGAACAGAGGCAGTGTGCTCTAGAAGTCATAGGATGCTGATAGTTTGGGATACATGAAGTTAAAATGAAACTGGGTTCAAAATATTAAACTATGATTTTACTAGTATTGGATGCATGCCAGCACCCAGAACTGTCATCAAAATATTCTCATGTGCTAGAATTCCAGTTTGCTTTCATATTTGTGCCACATGTAACTTGAAATAGAAAATATATTACACAAAGAATAAAAATAAATCCTTACTTTTGCAATCTGGCGGCTTGGGCCACTTTCCTCCCATACATTTTATAAATCCTGGTCCATCAATTCCAAAACCTTCAGAACAATTGTATGTCACCTCTTCCCCATGTTGGTAACTGTCTAGTTCGTGAGACACAATCCCATGATCGATTGAAGGTGGTGGTCCACAAGGAAGTCCTGAAAATCACACAATGAGAGGAACAAAGTGAAATCATCCCACGTGGCACTAATTCAGAAACTCACTTGTATGTGTCAGTTCTATGTGTACTATGAGGGAATGTTAACAAGGTAGAGGTGTCATCACAGAAGAGGTGGACAGCGCTTCCTAACACCACCGTCTGCTGTCTTCCATCTGCTAAACTGCGTCAACACTGAGCAAGAACTGGACACCAAAATGTCTGACAAATACTGAGTGACAAAAGGAATGGAAAAGCAAAAAATACTCATTTCAGGAAACATACCCTATACTGCATTTGGGGTGGATACTGATAAATTTAATACCTGATGATAAATGAAATACTAGAAATCACATGAGCAGGTGAGGTCAGACTATACATCATATTTAAAAACAGAAAAGGAAGTGTTAAAGTGGATTTCATGACAATCAAGACAATTAGCTTAAGCAGGATACTGTGGTCTATGCAAGAATAAATTTATGTTTAAAATATATAAATGATTATATGTGCCAATCTAAACCATTCTTTCTCCTGTTTTTGATGAGAGTAAAGACTTGTTGGAAAACCAGAATTGAATTTTCATTCTGCTCTCACCAACACAATGAGGTGGATTGCTCCACTTTCCCATGTGGCAAGTTACCCCATGATCCTCAGCCATCCTAAAACCATCATCACAAGCATAGTTGAGTGTAGTGCCATGTTCATAACTTCGGGACTCAAGTGTGCGTCTCCTATCTTCTGAAGATCTGGGTAATTTAACAGATCCGTGGTCTATTTCAGGGGGCTGGGAACATGGCATTTTTGCTATATGAAGAAGAGAAATGAATTAGTGATGCATAAATTAAAAGTTTACATTGAAAAATAATAAACAAACTGTTTAATTATGTCTCCACAGTATTTAGGCTATGCTCTCTTATTTCAATGCCCACCCTCCTTCACCTGAATTCTCTTTGGTATTCAAAGAAAAAATGATGTAAAATAAGTCATAACTACTGACCAATGCAACGTGGTAATGACTGCCACCTTCCATCTCTGCACACCATTTCTTCTCTGTTCTGTATTAGGTAATTGTCTTGACAAAGAACAGATACTTTTTCTCCTTCCCAATACTTTACTGTGGTTTCCATCACTTGGGCATTTGGAATCTGTGGTGGAGGAGGGCAGGATTCTTTCTCTATTCCTAAAAACATTTGAGATCAGAGTTCTTGACCAAAGATTGCATCTTAAATTATAACAGTAATAATTCTCATTAGATGTTAAATTAATTATCCCCATGTATTAATTGTATCTATACTTTTCAGCTAGTATAGAATTTCAATATATATTCATGTTCTCCTTTGAAAATTTATTTATTCAAATTTAAAGCAGTCTTGCATTATTTTTATAAAACTTATTTCAATTATTTCTATCCTTTATGGTGTTTTATATTATTTTAAACTTAAATATATTAAACCAGGATTACAAGAAGGTATCACTAGAGCTATATATGGTTAGGTATGACCTAATATGGTGGATTAGATTAAAAAAAAGCCAGTGAGATAGTTCAACAATGAAAGTTGTTTAATGGATCCAATACTTATATACTGGTAACTTTTCTCGTTGCAGTAAAAAAAATACTGAACAATAACAACTGGAAGGAAGGAAGGAAGGAAAGGTGGGTGGGTTTAATTTAACTCATCATGAATGGAAGTAGAGTGTCAGGCAGATTGTCACATTGTATCTCTAAGGAACCACAGAGAAATTATTGCTGGTATTCAGGTCCCCTTTTCCTTTTCATTTATTGCAGGACCCTGCCCATAAAATGGTGGTAACACCTACATTTATAGTGGACGTTCCCCACTCAGTTAACCTAAACTACAATTGTCCTGTCAGTCACGCTCAGAGGTGGTTTTCCTTGAGAAATGTAGATTCTGTCAAGTAAAATATGGGTATAAATTATCACAACTGATAATCAATTTGGCACTGACACTTGATAAATAAGAGGACAAGATATGTTCACAAATGGCTCATAGTGAACCATTTCAGCTACCCTGGACATCTTAACCTGAATTATTTAGAGATACCAAAGTGATGGCATGCATCCAGGATAATAAGCAATTAATACTGTCATTAACACCCTTATGAAAAACTTTGTGTAAGTCTTTATAAAATCAAAGTACCTCAGATTAATCTTTCATATTCATAAAATAAGAGCGTATTTATTGGTGATTATTAATAACTTCAATTTTTATCTCTGTTTATATAATGTGGAATGACTAGAAATAATTAACTCTGTGAAGTACATAAAAGTTTCCACATTCTTTGAGTAAATAGCCATATATGAAAGATAAACAGTTACAAACTTAATACTACAGTCAAAATGATATCAGACATGATAAAATCAGAGGCAATTGTAGAAGAGCATGAACACTTCATTCACACATACGTAATGGGTCTGAATTTGGAGTGGCATAGAAATGTTTCCTGTGAATTTTAGTCTTTAAGGAATAGCTTACAATAACAAGTGAGGTAAGGCATCCAAAATAATAGTAGTAAAAGCAAATAGGGAAGCAAATACTGTTGAATGAAGTCATTGCTTATTGACATGGAGTTGGAGGTGTCATATGAGCCAGAATTCTCTATATAAACAGACTGATTTTTGATGGGTAAATAAATTATTAAATTGACAGTATAAACACTCATACAGAAATTCATGAATATTAAGTGTAGGCATAGGAATGAAACATCTCATTTGTTATGATAAAATAATTAGGTGTTATGGAACTCTAAGCAAGAAACCATTAGGACACGGGGGTAAATTCGTGTTGATCAAGTTTCCTTGTCTGTTTTACAAAGGTCATAAAAATGATAAAATAATTTCTAGGTAATTTTCTATTTAAAAAGTATCTTTCCAGAATATCTTTTATGACACAGTGTTTTAATGTATGAAAGGATTTCAGAATCCCAGAAATCTCAGAATCCCACCTACACAAGACACATTATAAGAATATCAGTTGAAATATTAATATGGATAGGGGAATTCTAACAATGTCCTTCCCCTAGATGGAGAGGTTCCGGCAATTAATGGCTATATAGAGTTGGAGAATCAGTCTTCTCCTTAGATAACTGAGTAAAAAAAATAGGTTATCCAGTTCTAAGCATTATTCCTAAACACATATATGTAGAAGAAACACTAAATGGATTCATCATGCTCTCAATTATATAAACAAGTTTGAGTAGGAAGATGGAGAAGTGGAAAAGATGAAAATACATGATTCACATATGAAATACTCAAAAGTTACCTTGTTTTAAGAATTCCGATATACTACTATTACAGGTGAGAAAAGACTAGAATAACCTTTAGAAAGCAGAATAAATAGGAGCTTACTTGTACAGGTTGGCTCAGGATCCCATCTTCCATTGATGCAGATTGAGTGGTCATGTTGCTGCTTTCCTCTACATTTGTAACTCATGTTAACATTATGATTAAAGTAAATCTTATTGGGTTGGATTACCTCTGCTGCAGTTAACCTTGGTGGTTTACACCTCTCTAGTTGCTCTGTTGCTATGTGAAAATATTTCCAAGAAAAATAAAACAATTACAAGAAGTGAGATAGCTACTACATTAAAATACTATATAGTCAATGTACAATGAAACTTTTATTTATATTTAAATTCTGTGTATCAAAATGTTGAAGGCCACCATGCATAAATGGTCTATAGTGTGAGAACTAGATCTCATGTTCACTCTTTTACATCTCAGAGATAGTATGTGTCATGAAAGGATTTGGATACTTGGCAACTGCAAGTACATAGGAAATAATTACCTCAGATGATCTACATAGGAAAAGATTATGACATAATCTTCTTTGGTCCCATACTTGAAAGATATGAAAATGTTCAAATTTGTTTCTCTCCCATTATATGATCTTTAGTTTGTAATATTAAAAATATTAAAATAAAATCAGGTGTCAATAGGATACAAGGACTTTCTAATTTACATTTTATTTTTTGACAGATGTTTTATAAGAAAAGAAAATCTAGGTTAAATTGTGTAACAAACAAGTATTTTAAGTGATATAAGAAATTAAGTGCATGTAGTCACCAACCATCTCCTTTATATTCCTTTTGTAAGAGTCTATAGCAAGAAATTTCATGTTATACCATCATATAATCGAACAATATTAAGTTATAATTATAAGCTATTATAGTTAAGAGTTATGTGATGGATATATTTAGACCTTTTCATATGCTATATATTTAATTACTCAGTGAAGATGAGAATTCTTTTTGAATTTTGCCAATTTCAGTGTAGGTTATGGATAACATTTGTTTTTGATTTGAAATTTGGAGTGAAATGTGTATTGATGATAGAAATAAACATAAAAAATTAAACAAAGAACTCTAATGTTTTTAAAACATATCTAAAATACTGACCAGAATTGTTCAAGCACAGAAAACTCTAAAGAATTAGACCCTTCCTAAAGATTGGTTCACAAGACAAAAAAGCTGTTGTTTATATAGGATAATGAAGAAAGACCTATAGTCAAAGGGACATGGTGACTGTGTGATTCATTTATTTCTGAAAGAATCTCTTATTTTTCAAAAGAAAGCTAAATATATATATATATATATATATATATATATATATATATATATATAGAAGAAGAAGGTTTAATGGAAGGATTAAAAATGTTTGTTCCTTAAGGCTAACTTTGTAGTATAGCGTTATGATAACTGGAGAGGGTAACATGAAGGTCAGTATAAGAAGATCAAACACCATAACAAAGCCTCTGAAATATGAGCAAATAATAAAGCAGAATTTTGTGACTTAGAATAAAGAACTAAGTTTTTATGCCTGATATTATGTCTGATTTTTCCATATTAAATTTTTTGTCAAACAGTTTTAAAGCAGTGATAATAACAGGTTTTAAAGATTGAAGGTAGGACTTTGACCAAAAAATTGATTAGCCAAAAAATGCATAGATTAATAAGAAGTAGAGGTAGTGATTTACATGACAGTTTACAGAGTTGGTTGGTATTAAGTATAGGGAGAATATATCGCTAGCTAGCATAAACATATGTACCCTTTTAAAAGGAAGTCCATGTTTCTCTGGCATGATTCAACAGCTTCAACTCCATTTAATAGTAAAGACTGGAAAACAAGGCCCATGCTGAAGGAATGACTCAGAAACACTCATAAGAAAAAAATTAAGTTTCAGGGAAAACTGGATGTGGGTCCCAAGATGCTTTTAGCTATTCATTAAAGATGTAAAAGTACAGAGAATGTCAATGTAGAGTGAAGTCATCCATGGGATAATGTTTCCCATCGAATCCTGACTTTTTGTTATAGCTGAGTTCTATAATAACGGACAGGCCCTGGACTCCCACTTGCAACATATTGGCTTTGCTTGAAGCCTGTAATAAAGACAGATGCATCATAGAAGTATTGAGAGAGGAAATTTTGATATGAGAGAATAGGAAATAGGACTTTACATACTTTATGTCTTAACTTTCCCAGACCTGGAAGGATAACGCCTTATAATAACAGCAATGGTGTTTTTTTAAACTTGTAATATCTTTTTGGACATTAGTATCCATATTTTAGTCACATGAAAATTTATAACTAACAATTAGATTTTACTTAAGGTAAATAACAAGCATGTACAGATTATATTAATGATTTCTTTTCATCTGTAGACATGCATCAAATTATAAAAAGCAAAAGTTTGGACTCATCTTATTTAAAAACACATATTTCCAAAAAGAATACTAACTTCAGAAGTATATAGTAGCAAATATCTCTGAAATAAACTTAATGAAGTATCAATTTGAGGCACACAGACTTACCAATACATTGAGGAAGTTGTGTCCACCTTCCACTAATGCATTTTACTGACCCATGTCCAATCATTGTGAAGTTTTCTATGCAGCTGAACTCCACTGAATCTCCATGGTAATAAGGAGAGACAGAAAACTGGACAAATCCATGCTCAAGTTTAGGAATATCTCCACATGTTCTTTCCTCCTCTGCAGATAGATGTTTCACAAAAACGAATTCATGATTAAGTCATCACATGAAACACAAAACAGCATTTAGATATTAAGTTAATTACCAACACATATTGGCAAGGTTGTCCAATTTCCATCTACACACTGGATTCTACTGGGTCCCTTCAGTAGAAATTTAGGCTTGCAATCATATTCCACCACCTCACCATGGCCATATTCTTCTTTCTTTGTTCCTTTAGCTTCCCCATTGTGGAGTTCAGGAGGTTGGTCACATGATCCCACTTGATCTATTGTGGAAATACTGTGTAAGTATAAAGGAAAATGCCCATCTTACAGTCTAAAAATCTAGTAAATGAAGAAATTTTAAAAACATATCACCATATTACTTTTTATAACACTTTAATAAATAAATAGTATTTACACATGACCCACATTTTGCAGTTATAATGCATTAAAAGTTAAAATATCATTGCATGTATGTTGAAGGTGTAACAATATTCAGTAAGCTTGATAGTTTTGAAAATACGTGCAAATCATTCATCAGTTTTAGTTGTGTCAGTTAGAGTGATTTCACATTCTTGGGCATTATTTTATTTTACAGTTACCACTTTGTAGAAAATATCATTGTAGCAAGCATCTAAATAATCTGCTTTAATTTGCTTAATGCCTGCTATTGAATTGATTAAAATCTCCTTTCATACAGTTTGGACATATTCTATTCAATGTGAGGGAAGGCCTAGGCCTACAAAGATGCCAGGACTTATGGCGATGTAGACAAAATGAAAGAAGTCTTCGTAGTCTCAGCTATCATGTCTGAATGTGTAAACACACTGATACACACTTTAAGAAGCAAGGTAGCCTGTGATTAGCCTTATACATAAGAGACTGTGTATAAGCCACACAGCACATGTCTTCTGTGACTGTGTATATCTCTGAATATGCTTTGGACTACAGACATACTGGAAGACTCGTGAGTATTAGGAGAAGGAAAATAAACTTCTTATCCTCATTATGAAATGTATAACATATACTCACCTTTACATGTTGGGAAAGTAGGGGACCATCCAAAATGGTAACATTGCACTGAATCTGGGCCAACTCTGTGCCTTGGTCGGCAAGAAAATTTCAATATATCTCCAACTTTATATTTTTCTTTCTTGGGATCAACGTTTAAGTATGGTTCTATTAGGGGAATGCTGCATTCTCTTTCTTGAAAAAGTAACAGAATTAGAATATACAATTAATCATTTAGAAGTAGGTTTTTCTCTCTCATGTACATTCATAGTTAAGTATCAATAAAACATTTCCCTTTAAAAAGTGCTGCATAGTAGCTTTAATGTACCCTAAATCAATATAGAAATCTCTGAGAAACATGAGATGGGTAAAATAGTAGTTATAAAATTGATTATAATATCAACTTATTTCACTGAATCTTACTTGCTGCAGGTAGTTATTAAATTTAGAGTCACAATTTCCCTATTTTGACAACTCAAAATTGTTCTCTCATGTTTGAAATTAGTGCCATACATTGTATAAATAATATACTAGAAATAATTTTTAGTTAATATAATTGAGAAAATGTCACATAAAATAATTTCTAATGTATTGGAAGTTAGGAAAATATAATTAGTATATTTTAAATGAAAAGATGAAATAAAAAATGTGCAATATATTTACATTACAGCAAATTATTTTGTTGTGTTTACAATTCTAATTAATAATTATTAATTATTGTGACTCAAGACAAGAATGTGTAATATTCCCTATTATAATAAAAAATTTCTTCAGCCCATGACTTTGTTCAGTGCTACCAAAAAATAATTAAGTAATATTTTCCTCCCTTGGAATCTTCTTTTTTTCAATATATAAATTAAAATTGACAGTTTTAAAAGTAAGGTGATACATAAAAGATAACTGATGTTTTCAAAAGTCAAGTATTAGTACATAATCAACAAGATTTGAAAGTCACTCTTTAAAACTTGTACCTAAGGAAAAATATAAAGCAAGAATCAAAACAAAATACCTCAAAACTTATATTGGGTTGGCAATAGAACACAGAGGAATGGCATGTGCTAAGTGTGTTAGACTCTCTGTGAAAATTCCCCAAATAATACCCTAGTTTTAAAATTGAATTTCAGGTTAACTGAAAAAACTCACTCTGAACAAGACTCAAGACGAATCTACTAAAATAATTACTGTGGGGATGTGACAGCCTCTGATGGCACTGTGGTATTGCCTTCCCAGAAATGAATTTCTCTATCTCATGTATTAGAGTATTCAGACCAATATAATAATTACCCAGGTCCTCTTTGATAGCTAAAGAAATTTAACATGGAATCAAGCATCCCATAAAGGCTGTTGACCTTTTTTTCCTAAAATGCCTGTGTGATTCTCGTGGCCTTCAGGTAAGAATAGGATAATTGGAACTTGCTCCCAGTCCAACCACAAAATCTGTTCTCTTTCCCCTTCCAGTGGATATTGATAAATCCCCCCTCAGCACCCTCCTTGTCACTTAGCTATTCTGGGTCTGTGGATTGTAGCATGATTATCCTTTGCTTAACAGCTAATATTACCTTATAAGTAAGTATATGTCATATGTTCTCTCTTTGGGTCTGGGTTGTTTGCCCAGGACGTTTTTCTAGTTCCATTCATTTGCCTGCAGATTTCATGATGTCATCTTTTGCTAACAACTGAGTAATATTGTATAAATGTACCCCATTTTATGCATTATTCAGTTGAGAGATACCCAGTATTTTCCAGTTTCTGGTTATTATGAATAAAGCTGGTATGAACACAGTTGAGCAAGTGTCCTTCTGGTTGGATTGACAATCTGTTGAGTATAACCCCAAGAGTAGGTCTTGATGTAGATTGATTTCTAATTTTCTGAGGAATCACCATGCTGATTTCAATAGTGGCTGTACAAGCTTGTACTCCCACCAACAATGGAGGAATGCTCCCCTTGCTCCACATCCTCACCAGCATGAGCTACCATTTGTGTTATTAATCTAAGCCATTCTAAAAGTTGTAAAGTAGAATTTCAAATTAATTTGTATTTGCATTTCCCTATGGCTAAAAATGCTGAACATTCCTTTAAGTTTTTCTGGGCTATTTGAGTAAAACTTTATATTTTTACCCCACTTTTTAAATTGGATAGTTTGGTTTGCTGATATATAGATACTTGAGTTCTTAATATATTTCGGAAAGTAGTTATGGATGTGGAGTTAGTGAAAATATTTTCCCAAATACAGCCACAAAACCTTTAGCCTAAAATCTGTCCTGCTTTAAAGATGAGCAGAGTCAATGGTGGCTCAGAGCTTGTTGAAGTAGCCAGTCATTGACTGGTCTAAATTGAGGCCTGAGGCATGAGAGGGAGCCCATGTCGAACACTGCCTGGATGGCCAGTAACCAGAAACTAGATGGCCAGAGACCTAGAGAAGAACTAAACATGACTGAAAAAAACAAAAGTCAAAGAAATTATACCTGATAATACTCTGCTACAGTCATAGATTAGTGTCTAGCTGTACTATTGGAGATGCTTCACACAGTACTTGATGGGAGCAGAGGAAGAGAACCACAGCCAAACATTTAGAAAAACTCAGAGAACTCCACAGAAAGGATTGTAGGGGCCAGAGGGTTTAAGAACATCAAAAATGCATGACCCACATAATTAACTAAGCAGGCCTCATAGTGGCTCCCAGAGACTGAAGCAGCAATTATGGGGCCTGAATGATTCTGCACTACATCCTCTGTATGCATGCTATGGTTTTTTATCTTGAGCTCTTCATAGGACTCAGAACAGTACCAGGGTTGGCTATGTGTGACATTTTTGTCTGCTCATGGGACCCTTTTCCTCCTACGTGGTGCCTCGTGATGCCTTGACATGAGAGTTTATGCATAGTGTTATGGCATCTTGCTATGCATTGCTCAGTTGATAACCCTGGGAGGCCTGCTCTTTTCTGAAGGGAAAGGGAGGAACAGTGGGTCTGGGGGAGACTGGTGTTAGGGGAGCAGGGAGGAGTAGAGGAAGGGGAGGCTGAGATCAGGATGTACTCTATGAAAGAAGAGTTAAAAAAGGAAAAAAGAATAGGATAATGGTGTTCCTGTTGTAAAGTATTTAACAGTTTGCTTTTGCATTCATAGAGCTTGTTTATCTCTGGGTGACAGCTACAAAACTGTCTTTTTATTACTATACAATGGGAAAGAGAAACAATTAAGGGGAGTAAACACTTCTTTTTTATTAATTTTTTTAAGTTTAAATTTAGAATACAAACATGGTTGGTCCAGGTCCATCTCCCTTTCCCTCCCCCATAATCCACTCATTTCCCCAGGGAGGGTGAGGCCATCCATGGGGGTGTCCATAGTCTGTCATTTCATCCAAGGCAGGGCCTAGTCCCTCCCTTCAAGGGTTCACAGTGAGAGTTCATCTCACATTGTTGGATGGGAGTCCAAAGTCCATGTGTATGCTCGGGATGAATACTGATCTACTGCCCAAGGCTCAATAGATTACCTAGGCCTCCTCACTGACACCCCCATTCAGGGTGTCTTGATCTGTCCCATGTTGGTTTCCCAGGCATCAGCCTGGGATTCAAGAGTTAAACATTGTCAGGTCAGCTGTTTCTGGGGTTAAACCAGCCCAGTCTTAACTCCTTTGGTCATCAGTCCTCCCACTCTGTTACTGGCTTTCTTGAGTTCAGCTCAGTACTTAGCCATGGGAGTCTGCCTCTTCTTCCATCAGCCACTGAATGAAGTATCTGTTTCTCAGACTCTCTGGCCAAAGGATTGTAGGCTGGCACTCCCCAGATCTATGTCTAAAATCCATATATGAGAGAGTACATGCCATGTTTCCCTTTTTGTGACTGCGTTACCTCACTCAGGAGGGTTTCTTCTAGTGTCATCCATTTGCCTGCAAAACTCAGGATTCCATTGTTTTTTCTGCTGAATAGTACTCCATTGTGTAAATATACCACATTTTCTCTATCCACTCTTCAGTTGAGGGACATCTAGGTTGCTTCCAAGTTCTGGCTATTACAAATAATGCTGCTATGAACATAGTGGAACAGACAACCTTGTTGCATGAATGGGCATCTTTTGGATATATGCCTAAGAGTGGAGTTGCTGGGTCCTGCTAGGTTTATTCCCATTTTTCTGAGGAGTCTCCATACTGATTTCCAATGTGGCTGAACCAGTTGGCACTCCCACCAGCAATGGAGGAGTGTCCCCCTTTCACCACATCCTCTCCAGAATAAATTGTCATTGGTGTTTTTGATTTTAGTCATTCTGACAGGAGTGAGATGGTATCTCAGAGTTGTTTTGATTTGCATTTTCCGGATGGCTAAGGATGTTGATCACTTTCAGAAGTGACTCTCAGCCATTTTAGACTCCTCTATTGAAAATTCTCTATTTATTTCTGCAGCCCACTTTTTAATTGGATTCTTTGGTGTTTTGGAGACTTGCTTCTTGAGTTCTTTGTAAATTTTGGAGATCAACCCTCTGTCAGATATGGGGTTAGTGAATATTTTTTCCCATTCTGTGGGCTGCCTTTTTGTCTTGCTGACTGTGTCCTTTGCCTTACAGAAGCTTCTCAGTTTCAGGAGGTCCCATTTATTAATTGTTGATATCACTATCTGTGCTAGTGGTGTTATGTTCAGGAAGCTGTCTCCTGTACCAATTCGTTCAAGGGTAACACCCACTTTCTCTTCTAAGAGGTTCAATGTGTGTGGATTTATGTTGAGGTCTTTGATCCATTTGGATTTAAGTTTTGTCATGGCGATAAGCATGGATCGATCTGCAGTCTTCTACATGCCAGCCTCCAGTTATGCCAGCACCATTTGTTGAAGATGCTTTCTTTATTCCATTGTATATTTTTAGCTTTGTCAAAGATGAGATGTTCATATGTGTGTGAGTTAATAGCAAGGTTTTCAATTCAATTCCATTGGTCTACCGGTCTATTTTTGTGCCAATACCAAGCTGTTTTCAGGACTATAGCTCTATAATAGAGCTTGAAGTCAGGGATGGTGATGCCTCCAGACTTTGCCTTGTTGAACAGGGTTGTTTTGGCTATGCTGGGTCTTTTGTTTTTCCATACAAAATTGATTATTGTTCTTTCAAGGTCTGTGAAGAATTGTGCTGGGATTTTAATGGGGATTCCATTGAATCTGTAGATTGCTTTTGGCAGGATTGCTACTTTTACTACATTGATCCTACCTATC